GCTTTTCTACATGTTCTGCAGAAAGGCTTGCTCTTTTTTGAGAGCAGATGTTCCCTGCTGTGGAGAAGATCCACTCCAACGGGGTGGAGGTTGCAGGAATGCACAGAAAATATTTGGCTAGCTTTGTGGGGAAACGTCCCTCATTTTCGCTCCACCATTTAAGAGGATCATCCTTTTTAGAAACTGTGGCTTCCTTACAGCTTCCGTACAGCTGAACTTCACTTCTCACATTTTGGACATCTTGGTCCTCCTTAGATGCTTCTTCCTCATTGTCACCTCATTGTTAGATGCTTCTTGACTCCTTGAGTCTGTCTGTGTCAGACTCAAGGGGTCTTTTCAATTCTAACTGAACCATTGGCCGTCTGCACTTTTGAATGCTCATGTGTCCCAGCATTTGCTTCTTTGACAGCAAGCACTTCAACAGTCCCCTGCACTGATGACATCTTCAGGAGCCAAAAACTTCAACTTTCTGTATCCGGGGTCTAAGGCAGCTGCGAGAATAACAGGGTTTTCTTTGTCTGCTGAGAAAGTGGATATACTCCCCATCTCTATGTTATGCCTTTTTCTTCACTGGCAATGAAAGATTTTCCTGAGCTCGTCTCAGGTTGGCTTTGGTGTACAGCCCGTGTCAGCCCTTTGACCACCTGTGGAAGACCTGAAATGGTTGTGTACTGCTGTCCACTAAGGTAAACAGGACCAGTCTCAAAAGGTGCCAACCCTTGCTTCAGTTCTGCTCTGGCTTCAAGTCGAAGTAGTGTTTCCCCCTTGGCATTACCTCGGGATCTGAAAGAGTAGCAGTGAGAGGCCAGCGCTATTCGAGGAGTCTCTCTATCATGTGGAATCTACTATTCCATCTTGTACTGACATCTTGGATCAGTGTATTTTTCTTCACATTCATTTGCTCCTGTTTCATTTTTAGCCTTGTACTAGCCAGCTCACTTCTCTTAAAGTGCTCCACTAGCTGCCTAGCAGCACCTAGTGCTCTGCTGATGGTGGTTTCTTTGAGAGCCGTATTGACTATGAGCTGGAGTGTGTGTCCAGCACAGCGGATAGAAGCCCATCCATGTTTTTCTTCAAGCAGTCGCATTGCTGCCACCATATTGGAACCACTGTCATGTACTACTGCTTTTATTTTGGCAGGCAAGATGTCAAACTTTGTTAGCACCTCTTCCATCCATGTCACTATATTGGCACCAGTATGCCTCTCCTCAAGAGGCATGGTGTAAAGGATGAAGCTCTTCATCTTCCAATCTTCACTCAGGAAATGGCAAGACACACCAAGGTAGGCCTCTGTTGCATGACTGGTCCAGAGATCAGCAGTCAGGGTGAAGAAACCTTTGACACCATCAAGGGTCTGTTTTACCTAAAGATATGAGATGATTTGGAACAATAGTAAGCATTAGGGAAATATATTACAGTATATTTTTTCATTATTAATAATGCTTGTCAGTTTATGCATCAAGATTTAAATTTACCAATTGATTCATTCAGTTACATCAAATACAGTTACAAACAAAAAACAACTTTACATTACATGCTTTAACCAAGATTAATTTATTGGTTGCTCAGTCAGCAAGCTCTTAATATTATTTCATCATGAAATGTATTAAATTCTAATACAAATTGCTATTTTGTGTTTGTGGTGTGAGAGAGTGGAGAGAAAGAGAAACCAACCTTCTCAAAGGTAGCATCATATTTCTTTTCCATCAATTTGGTGAAGTGGGATCGGCCTGGTAGGTAGTTATCATGGTAATCTGGGTTGAACTGCTTGATCATCTCTTTGAAACCTTGATCATCAACCATAGACAGGGGTCTCATGTCCGTCACCAACATGTTCAAGATTGATTTAGTCAGGACATCTGCTTGCCGAGGTGTACATGTTGTTGGCTTGGTGACAAAGTCATCCATTGAAGACGAACGTATTTTTTTGGTGGTCCTGAAACGTAATGTTTACAGCTATCAATATAAGCAATAATAAGTAGTGCTCTCAGCGTTAATCTCGTCAATATGACGTTAACGCGGCAAATCCCCGTTAGCTCGATAACGCGGTGCGAGGGCTGCACTGGGCTCACTAACAGGGATTTGCCGCGTTAATGCTGTTATGGCATTAACGTCATATTAACGAGATTAACACTGACAGCACTAATAATAAGTAATAAGTAGCTCGCTGTTTACGCTAATGTTAACAACTAACTAGCCAATTAGCTTACCGAGATGACTGTACCACTTCGTCGTCGGATGCCACAACGTGCTTCCTTTTTAGATGCTCGTGCATTGCCGACGGACATGGCTTCTTCTTCTTCGTCTTTGGCGTTTAACGGCATCCTTGTAGATGCATTGTCGCCATCTTCTGTTTCAGTCCGTTATTACACTCTTAAATCCTACTGTTATTCCTGCACCTTTCAGGATTTTACGACACTTCAAACGACGCGTCGACTATTAAATTAGGCGTCGACGATTTTAATAGTCGACGTAATCATGACTAGTCGACTAATCGTGGCAGCCCTATTGCTGATTACACTGATTTGATGTTTAGTTTTGCATTGTTACATAAAGATACATGTTAGAGGGCTTTTTGGGTTGTTGGCGCCCTCTCGTAAGGATAATTAGATTGGAGATAGGGGGCAGGTGCTAATAAGAATTTATTCTTCTTCCTGCTCCTTTTTACCCATGGGTGCAGTGTTATATTAGTGGGAAAGAGGATTTGTATGTAGGAAATGAAACACTGTTGAACCATGTGTGAAATAAATAAATAAATGAAATGAAATAAAATGTTAGCAAACATTGCGTTTTTTTCTTGACATTCATTTGATTTTTTTTTTTTTTGGTATATCTGTCATTTCATGAAATATTAGTTGCAAGTTGTTCAGACTAGTGTAGGGAACAGAGTTAAGCCAAGAACTACACAGTGTAGGGAACAGTTGTGATTCGCAAATGATCAAATAGTAATTTAGGGAGTGCTCGATTTGCTTTTATTTTTGTGTCAGTGTTACTTTATCATGCTCAATTAATAGTGGGAAGCCATGACCAAGATTAAAATGTGTTTGATTGTTCAACCCTGTGACATACTATGTTGAAAAAGACAAACTTGGCTAGCACCATGGATCAGCTTAGGGTTGCAAAGGCAGTTTTTTTTAAGGTTCCATGGGACCCTTAAGTACCAAAGAAAACATCTTTGTGTGTTCTCCTGTTGTGGTTTAATGCCCAACAAGCATAACCTATAAGAAACAAAAACGCACAAATAGATATTATCTCTTAATCTGCATTTTTAAAATGTCTTTTTTGGTTCAGGGTTCAAGTTTTTTTGGAACTTGTTTTTGCATCATTTAAATGGTTGTTAGTTTTACCTTTATAGAAATTCACTGAAAGCAAAAGAATTACACTGAAATGAAAGACAAGCTTTTCAGCTCTGCAGGGCCATGCTTATTTAGTCTAATGATGTCACTATCACAGAGTTAAGCCAAGAAACAATATTTGAAAGGAAAACAGCATAGCTAGAAATTTGATGTTTACCAAAACACAAGATCGACTAAATACCAGCAAGGGGCAATATGGTGAGTGATGTATGAGGTGGAAAGGTGCATGGAGAGGCGAAATAAGAGAGCCTGAATGATTGACAGTCTGTCTGCTCTGCGTTTCAGCAACTGAGGAGTGGAATCAATGGTCTTACTTGGTTACCCATGGTAAAAACTTATCCCCTCTCCCTACCTCTCTTCAGTTGTTTCTATCTACCTGTGTCTAAAACCGATGCTTATACTCACATATATTTTTGCCTGCTTGATCTTTTTATATACAATAACATTTCAGTAAGCTTATCCTTCCTGTTCCTTAGGTTTTTCTTCCCAGTCTTTATATCCATGGTGATATACCATAAGCCCCTAAAATACATATTGTACTACTTGCTACTTGTTATAAATTCTTATTCATATAATACATTGAAAAACAATGATCAAAATAAACAAAAGCACACATATTAAGAGCACGAATTTTACGAAAATTTGATTAACAACAACAACAAAATACAGCTTGTTTAAAATCTTCATTAAGGATACTTGTAAGTTTCACAGTGAATACAAAGAATCACGTTCTTTGTCTGTCAAAGTAGCTCATGAGCTTGTCTTATTGTTCACATAAGAAAGGGAGCAGAAGCTGAGCAAAGTATAGACCAAGTGACAAAGCAACAATAAAAAATCAGCTACAATATAGAAGATTGAGTTAGGTAACTGACAAGGTATGGAAGCAGATAAAGTGTCCCTCCAATGGCCATCTAACCTCTGACCTTTGTAACGAGTGGCTGAGTGTCTAAACGTCATTCAGATAACGAGTTATGGCCCCGTTGACACTAAATGGCAGTCAATGGACAGATAGATGGCCCACTGGGAATGGATGAAGTCAATGGGCAGTGAGAGTGAGTTCCATATTGCATTAATGGGAGCAATACAATATACTAAATGGTATTTAGCAGACACTTTTATCCAAAATGTCTTGAAGTACCTCATTGAGTGCTTTTATTTTTAGAAAGAGTGGCCCCATTGAAAACCAGGGTCCCTTACACCCCAAACCTGTTGGGACTTTGAGTACTTGCAGTGCAGCAATACTGGATTCATATATTCTGAGTCAGCAGGCAAGTATTCCTTTTTTTAATTTTAATTTTATTTTTATATGCAATAAACAGCAAGGAATTTTATATGAATCAGGGGATTTCAGTAAGTCTACATGGTATTTAAAATAATGAAGAAAAGGCACAGAACCCTTAATTCTCTCGTGTGGGAGGGGAGTTTCACTTCTTTACCATTAGGCAAGCGCTGGTGGAGAGGCATTATCTTTAGCAACATTCAAACATAAAATATCCTTTCATTCTTTTGCTACGTGTTAAGAGTCCCTCCAGTATTCATAATTTTCACATTTTCAGAATTCAATTTTGTTTTTATTTCTTTATCTTCTTCATCTTCATCCTGGCGTTGTTCCCGCTGGTGCAGGGTCCGGCAAAGGATTCTCCATTAGGTCCTGTCCAAGGCGTCCTCAGGTGATGCGTTAATGGTCTTAATGTCCTCCTTTATTTTGTCCATCCACCGTTTCTTCGGTCTGCCTCGAGGCCGGCATCCTTCTGGGTCGATCATCATTGCCGTTTTTGCTACCGAGTTCTCATCGCTTCGAATCACGTGTCCATACCACCTCAGGCGGGACTCAAGCATCTTTTCCTTAATTGGGGCTACACCTAATCGCTTCCGTATGCCTTTGTTCGTAACACGGTCCCGTCTTGTAATTCCCAGGCTCCATCGAAGCATGCGCATCTCCATGGTGTTTAGAGCCTGTTCATGTGTGGTCAATGCGAGCCAACATGCGGAACCATACAGGGCTACTGGGCAGACCACCGCTTTGTAGATTTTTCCCTTGAGTCGATCTGGCATTCTTCTGTTGCAAAGGACACCAGTGACCTGTCGCCATTTTAACCAGGCTGCATTTATTCATGCTCAGACATCGGAGGTTATATTTCCATTGTAGCTGATGACTGAGCCCAAGTAGCGGAACTCTTCTGTCTTCTTCAACTCTTCGTTGTCAATCATGATGGTGCCATCAGTTTGGGGGCCTCCTTCCAGGTATTCGGTATTTTTCGTATTAAGCCGCATGCCATATTCATCGAGCCGGATCTTCCAGAGTTGCATCGTCGTTTGGGTATCTTCTCCTTCTTTGCTGGCGAGGAATACGTCATCGGCAAAGAGGAGAGACCATGGATGAGGTAACTGGAGGTCGGCCGTGATGGTATCCATGCATAGAATGGATGCGTGTATGGCGTCAGTTGTTCCACATCCCTTTACGAAACTGCATTGGTTGGGGGTGACGTTGACAATTTCCCGAAGACGTGCATCGATGATTCTTTCAAATATTTTTGTCGTGTGACATAGTAGGCGGATAGGACGATAATTTGAGCATTCGGCTACATCCCCTTTGTTCTTCCATATGGGTATGGTAATGATGGTCGTCCAGACCTTCGGGACTTCTCCTGTGCTGACAATGTTGTTCAACAGTTCTGTCAGGATGGCTGTTCCCGGTCGCCCGAGAAGCTTTCAGACTTTGGTTGGAATATCATCTGGTCCAGTTGTTTTTTTTATGTCTTTATCTAACGGTTCTTTTTTTTCTTTAGATGCCTAGTATAGCATTATGTACAGTTTGCACAGTTTCATTAACTAAATTTCCCGCTGGATGATACATAATTTGTAAGATGTAATGTTTTTTGTATGCAATTCTTCCAGAGAACATAGCATCAGGATTAACATATTTATTTCTTCATTTCCAAGGAGTCTATTGGTGTATGAAAGCCCCCAAAAGATTTGAAAGCCATTGAGGTGTCATTGGGTCATAAAGTTGGGAATCACACTTTTGCTACACACTGATAGTGAAAAGAAGAGATGAAGGAGCATGACTGTATGTCTAAGCGAAAGTGGAACCCAAGCTACATGTTGCACTTTTGCTGAAAACAGTTAAATGAACTGCAGCTGTAAGTACAATCACACCCGACACGTTTGCCTCGTGCCATTCATAGATAGACGTGTACATAGTCACATCAAAGATGAGTTTTGGACTTCACATTTTGAAGCATTTTGGTCAGAAATGAACTAGAGTGGATGAAAGGGTGCTAATTTATTGGCTAACATTAGCATACTTAGCAATACTTAGCAAACTGCATTCAGAGTGTAGGGGTGCAATACACAAACACACATCGGATAAATAGAAAAGTACAATTTTACTCACTGAAACTGAAGCACAATCTTCTCAGATGATATATACCAGTATCCATTAAAAATATATATATTTACGAGGGCACGTCAGCACATACAAGCAAAGTTAAGAGGTTCTCTTTAATGACTGAGAAGTAGTGTCTGAGGCCTAGTAAACACCGATTAGCCCCTGTCAGTCTGTCAATCAACATGGCCTCGCCCCTAATTCAGTTATCCCCATGGATGAGTTTCTTTTCTTTCTTTTTTTTTTTAATTCTCCCCACAACTCAGAGTTGTTATGGCATGTGATTGCAGTCACACTATATGCGTACCTGCCCAACTCTAACTGAATCACGCTCACTTAATTGCGTGTGGACACAGCAAGCAGCAATCACACTTGTCAAATGACGTGGACTCGGGGGCTAAGTGCACTCAAGCATGCTATGGATCGCCTTCTGTGAATACACCCTTAAAGTTTTGCTTTATTCAAAGTTTTACGTTGCCAGTTTCACAAAAAGAAACTGTAACCTGATGGGAGTACAGTTTTCATCAACAGTAACAGATGGGAATGACAAGCAAAATAAGGCTGATATCATCTTTGATTATATAGTGTAAAAACAATTTATAACTGTAAAAGATGTTAAGGCAAGGGGAAAAAGTCATATCAGATCTACAGGAATTGAGCCAGTTAATGGTGACATCACAAAAGACGGCTGCTACGAGGTCCTTTCTTAAGCCTTAAGACACACTTAAATCCAAAACTTCCTTAATTACATGTAGGTGTACTATACACTAGGTTCAATCAGATCACTTCACATGGAGTAGTAATACAGAGCTGTAAAAGAGAATACATTTTATGGA